CGTATAGGGGGGAGGATGGGGGGGAGGGGGGAGGGAGGGGAGGGAAGTAAATATTTGTAAAAGTTTGTTTTTTAAAATTCTCATTAAAAACACTCTGGGAACCACAAAACCTTTTTGACATCTCTCTCTCTCCCCCCCCCTCTCTCCCCATCTCTGTGAATATCTCTTTCTGTATGTCTATGAATTTCTCTCTCTTCCCTCTCTCTCCCACTCTCTCTGTATATATCTCTCCTTCCCTCCCTCTCCCTCTGTCCCTCCCTCTCCCCTCTCTCTGTATATATGTCTCTGTATCTCTATGTCTTTCTCTTGTCCCCCTCTCTCTACTCTCTCTCTCTGCCTTCTCTCTATTTCTCTATGTGTTTTTCAAGGGGTGGGTTAGGGCAGCCGCTACTTCTTGTTTCCTCATGGCCATGAGATGCATGATTGATGCGCACTTGATGCACACTTGTTGCGTGCTGTACAATAAAAATTGCTCTGCACATGTGCAGAAGCAAAAAACAAGATTGCAGTGCCATAGGCACTGCTGGGAGAACCAGTTTGGGGAATGGCAGGCCTGGGTCACTGCAGGTTCCAGCGGCCCAGGATGCCAAACTACTACTGGTTCAGCCAAACTCGTCCAAACTGGTGGGAAACCACCACTGTCTCTTTCTCTCCGTCTCTTTCTCCTCCTCTTTCTATGTCTCTCTATGTCTCTCTTTCCCCCTCTCCCTCTCTATCTCTCTTCTCCCCCTTCTTTCTTTATCTCTCTCCCCCCCCTCTCTCTCTGTTTTTTCTCTCTGTTCTCTCTCTCTCAGAAAGCCGAGACTGGGCGAACCAATCAAGCTGTCCTTGGGGTTCTTCGCTGCTACCATTTCTTTCTTCTTGGCAACTTTTGGCAATCTGGGCTGGCTGAGGAATAAGGAATGAGCGCAAGCTCCGGCAGAGGCTTCCCCAAAGATGGCCCTTCTTCTCCTCTCATAATCCTCTGGCTGGCTGGCTCTGGTGGGCCAGAAGGGGAAGCATGAGTGGGAAGACCCTCCTTAAGTGCGGGCTGGGCTCAGCCAATGTGCAGCAAAGGTGCATGGGGCACATAGGTTGACCACCTGATGGGTGAGCATCTTTGACAAGGTTGCTCCAGCTCTCCCAGCCAGGCCCCCAGAGTGGGTGTGTAAGCTTTGATGGGGCCAGCCCCCTTTTCCAACTGCCCTGAGCATCTTTACTTATTCAGCAGATAGGTGCCCCAGTGGCTTTGATTGAAAAGTGTCCTCTGGGTGGTGAAAGTCCCATGTAAGGTTTAAAGCTGAAGCCCCTTTTCTGTCATCCCCTCCTGGATCCTATTCCAATTCCACCAACTGTCATATTAGTGAGGCCAGCATTGGTNGGAAGGAAGGAAGGAAGGAAGGAAGGAAGGAAAGATACTTCTTACCTTCTGTATCTGTCTGCTGAACTGAGTAAATTCTTGCACTCTTTTTTCTCACTGTCTCATTATTTCCAGATTGCAATACTTAACTAGTAATGCAGGTAATGTAGTTTGTCTGTTTACTTTATTTTGTGCCTGCATTCAGAAAGGGAAATCTTTAATTGCATTTTATTGGCCTCCACAAGTTGTCCCAGATAGGGAAATCTTAGAGTAAATACTCATTGTTTAATATACATTGTTTCTGCATTTTAGCTGTTCACATCCACCCAGTGCACTGAAATGGATTAGTCTTTTTGCATGCTGCTGCATGAACAGCCTTCTGTGTTTCTGTTGAGGTGTGCAAACATTTTGGCTGGGATTGAATCTGGGGCATATCAGTTTTCATCTGCCTGTGCTGCCCCGGTTCAGGTTAACTGGTAGTGGCGGACATCACCATGGACGCTCCGCACCAATGTTCCCTCTAAGCTGCGCGGCTGTGTGGCTGTGTGGCTGCGCCGCCATGCACGTGGAAAGTAAACATCACATAGCAGTTTTCAACTGCCACACAGTGTCGTTTGCCGGTCACGGAATGCAGTCTGCAGAGCGGCCGCACAATCATGATTGAAACCCCTTCAGCTAAACAAGAGTCTTGAGGTGCAGCATTGCAGCAAAGTGACTGGGTTGAGGAAGTGAGGTAGCTCGGGCTTCCTGGAGCAATTATTTAGAGGGAACATTGCCCACAGCTGCCTTCACACAAGTTTAAGAAGGCTAAATTTGCCACATTGGAGGGGGGGAGGGAGTGATTGGCCAATACTCGCTGAAAGAAAGTTCCATCTCTTTCTGACCCACTTGCATAATTCGGCCTCTGAGATAAACGTATTGTGTGAAAGCAGCCGGCTTCCCTTCCTCTCCAGCATCCGTGCCTTGATTAACACATAAAAGCCCACAAAAGGTGGGGGTGGGGGCTGGTCATGAACCCAGAATGAGCCAAGTAAGCTGAGCGTGGGTTGCTCCGCAGAGAGCAACCCATCCTCAAGAGAAACGGCAGCAGTGAGCCTCCTGCCTTTGCTTTCTACCTCTCCACAATGAGTTAGAAAGTGAAGGCAGAAGGCTCACTGCCACCGTTTCTCTCGAGGCTACCCACCTGAGGCTCGCATTGGCCAATCCAGGGCGGCACAGCAGCGATCCTAAACTCCCACCTAGAGTGTGCGCGCCACAGAATCCAAATGCAGGAAGCAGGGTCTGTTTCCTCGTGCATCTCTCTCTTTCAGAGAAAATCTTCCTTGTTCTACCTCTCCTGGCTGTAATCTCAGCTATCTTTGAGTCTCCAGCCGGTCAACTGACATCACATGATGTTTGATAACTCATTGGGATTTTCAAAGTCATTGAGAATATTTTTGCTTTGAGCTAATTAAACTTCCTATCTGTCAGTTTATCTCTGCAATTTTGTTGGATATTTTGGGTCACTAGTTACTATCACTAGTTATATGCAGAATTGTCTCCCAGAGTTCAGTAGTAATAGGCTACTGAACCACCTGTATAGAGAGGAATAAATTGCCACAATTTTTTAAACAATCAGCAAGCACTGTTGAACAGACAGATAGGAAGTTTAATTAGCTCAAAGCAAAA